GTGAATCCGTGAGTGTGAAGTGAAAGATGCAGAGGAGATCCAGAAGTTTGGAGAATCCAGGAATGTGAATCATCTAAGGAAATTTGCAAGGAGAGAGCCAAGCAGCCCTAAAGGAGAAGCCATGAGAGCTACTACCCCCAGAAGTGGCATATAGGCAGAGCCATGTAAGGCCTTTGGAGCTCACAATTTATCAGAGATTGCTTTGGATGGTCCATGTGGAACTACAGGACTTAATGTTTGCCACACTGGATTTTGGATTTGGTTTGGTTCCAATGCTTTGTATCCACTGGTAATGTTTTTATTGTGCCATTGAATGTTGTAAGCATTTAACATTTCATTTGTACTGGGACTCACAGCTAAGAGTTTGCCTTACATGTTGTGGGGGACTTGGGGCTTAGACTTTTCATCAATGCTGAAACTGTTAGGACTTTGGCAACTCTTAGGGATGGACTAAAATGCCTTTTGCAGAAAGAATGAACATGAGTCTTTGGGAGGCCAGGGGTGAAATGTCATGATTTGTGTCTAGATATCCCCCCAAAGCCTCGTGTAGTCATGGTGTGGGTTTCTACAGTTTGTGATTAATTCATAATCTAAAGCTGGAATTATGGGTTTGAGTGCTGCTGGGATTGTGGGTGTGAGTTCTACACCTGCCTTGTGGCAGATAGCCTGAATACCATACAAGGAAAGGAAAGAGGCCTGCTCTTTAGCACTGCTCTTCCCCTTTTACTCTTGCTGTTTTGCTGTTGCCTGAAGTCATGAAGTGTTGCTGCCATGTTCCACTCTGCCATGGAGCCAGCTGATTATGGACTGAAACCTCCACAAACTGTGAGCTAAATAAACTTTTCCTCCCTTAATTTTGGATGTTGGGTATTTTTGTCCCAGCAACAAAAGAAGACTAATTAACACACTGCTCTATGGAAATGAACAAATTCACCAGAGATCACTCCATTCAATTTCCACTGACAGCCAAGCTAATGAGAGGTTGAAGCCACGTGCAGTGCCACACTAAGTGCTGCTGGCACATGCATTGTGGTGGGCAATTTGGCCTACCACCATCTTGAAAGATGGACACAGTACTCAAATTCAGAAGCAACCACCAGAGCTAGCAAAGATTCCTATGGCAGGGAGTCTGTAAGTCTGAAAACTTAGACAGGCCAGATGTTATCCTGACCAAGAACCAGGATGTGAACAGAGTTCTGCCTGCAACAGAAAGGGGGACTTAAGTGCCCTTGGTTTACTGTCAAGATGGGCCAGCATACCAATGTGGAGTTCAGAACCTGAAATAGTAGGCACAGGGCACCAGTGACTCCCAATCCCAGAATTAGAAGGCTCTGAGTTTGAGAAGTGGTGGGAATCAAGGCTTGAGGAACAGGAGGAAAGAAATTCTAATGACCTCATGTCTTATGACCCAGCCACTATCTATCTATCTATCTATCTATCTATCTATCTATCTATCTATCTATATTTTTATGTGGATAAGGTAGATATTAAAAGGAACAGGAAGAGACCACACTGATGAGGAGGGGAGGAAATGCAATCAACATTTCCTCACTCAGGAGGAAAGGAAAATTGGTTCCATAATTATCTCTGCTTTACTTACCAAAGTCAAACAACATGGTTGGCCAGGGTCTAGGTCTTTACTTGCCACACTGTAGTAATATTACCTCTTCTACAACACATTCAGCCCACACAAATCCCCTCTAATTCATCAGAAATGTTACGGTCCCTGAGTAAGTGGCTACTGTCATAGAATGACCTCCCACCCCTTGAGAATTCTGACTAATCTGAACAGTTTTTTTATTCTGATCACTGCCTGAAGGAAAGATTTTCTAAGTATACCTCATCCTTTCTTTTGTCTTCTAGCTGAGATGTGACCTTTCCTCTGTGTGCAATGGCAACTTGGCCACTGTCTATCATAAACTAAGTTTTCTGAGAGTAGCACTGTGTCCTATTCTGGGTATGCCCCCCAAGATCTCATATCATTGCTCATTAAATATTTCTGAAAAGGAGGAAGGTGGACAGTATGACCAACCCAACTAGATTTATTTATGACTTTTCTGGCTTTAGCACTGAAGGTTCTGGGTCCTGAAGGCCCTTCAGACTTGAGCAAAAAGGTAATTGGTCACCTTGATCAGAAAGGAGAGAGGGAAGAATAGAGGAAGGCAAACAACAAAAAGAGAAGAAGGGCCAGATTAAATTAGGTCTGAGAGGGCCTTGGGGCACAGTACTCTGAGTTCTAACTTGATGCCTGAGAAGATGTCTCCTTCTGCTGAGTGCCAGGTGAGTTCTTAGGAACTGTGAGGAAATTTAATGAGCCCATCTCTGTGAAGAAGCAAAGAGACATTGGGTCGGATTTTATCCAGTTGTAATTGGATCCTGAAGATAGAATAATTTTCTTATTTCCCTGATGATAAGATCTAACAAGAAAATGAACTTCAGCTATAATAAATGGCTGATTGTACTATAGTGATGGCCAATATCATGCAGATACTTCACAATTCTCTTGCTGGGTGGCTACTCTGTAAGGCAAAAATACATTGGTGGGGACTGGCTTTTTTAAAATCTCTAGTTAAATCTTATTTTCAGGGAAATGCAGGTATTTGCGAATCATCTATTGAGAACTTACCTTTTGCAGGTTCTGTACAAGATACTGAGAATATAAAAGAAATAAGAACAGGAATTCTAGAAGTCCAGAAGAGGCAGGGCTTGTTGATGAAATGGTCTATGGCTTGCTGCTTTGTGCTCAGGAGGCAGCTCTGATCACACAGCTGCCAGATATGGTGCATAGCTGGTCTGCAGTTAGCATAGCCATCACTTCAAGAGCCTTAAGGGATAAGATATTGTGAGCCCTGGGCCAGGCCAGCACCATGTAATCCCATGTCTGTGAAACCCATGGATTAAGAGAGTTATTTGTTTTGAAGAAATATGCATATCTTCCTGAATAGTCTAAATAGTTAAAAGGATCACCAGGTCCTTGGCTTAATTGAGACATGACATCATGTCCAGGTGGACATGAAGTGCCGGGGGAAAAGACAGCCCAGGAAGAGGAAGAACAGGAGGTTTCCTCTGAGTTCAGGGCAGGTAGAACTAATTTCCCCAATAAAACCCTTGCCTTATTCTTGCTGGGTCCTCCACTGTGAATACTCTAAGGTCCAATGGCCAGACAGCTGTCTTTCCATCCAAAGACATGGCACAAGCAAGGTACCTGAATGCAAGGCCAGTGTCTTTTGCCCTTTTTATTCTATCTTTGTTACTCTCCTTTCATTGCTTGGACAAATATCTGACACTTAAAATGAAGGAAAGAAAGGTTTATTTAGCTCACAGTTACTGGAGGTTTCAGTCCATACTCACTGCTGCTCCAAGGCAGAGAGGCACATGGCAGAGAGTAACTGTTCATGGTGGCAACAAAGATCAGAGAGAAAAGGGAGGGTCAGCAACTCAAGCAGATAGCTAGTCTCTCTCAATCTTCCTTACATTGTAAAACAAATTATCTGTCTGGTGCAAGTACAGCACACACACACACACACACACACACACACACACACACACACAGAATAATCAATCACAAGCTTCAGAAGCTGTCCTATGACTGCATGAGACTTTGGAAAGACACATATACACAAACTATAACATATTCTACTCCTGATTTTCTATTGTTCACAAGTCATGGACAAGTAAGAACTGTCCCTGTGATTTTTTTTTGTTATGGCCCATGAAATAGAGACTCCAAATATTGAATAAAATAGATTGTATTTTGATTGGCTTAAAACCTATCCCTAGGTCCAACTTCTCTAAATCCAAAGCTGTCTTTTTGGCTCTTGATAACATTTAACTGATTGTGTTTTCTAAATTCCCACTGCACCTTTGTCCACCGTGTATATTTAAGAAATGCATTGTCTTTGGCAAAGAGAAGCATGTTTCAGTTTTTGCAAAACCCATAAGTATTAGAAGAAACACTTGCTTCACACATGAGAGGGAAACTGACATGGATTGGGTGGGTCTTCTCAGAATTAAAATTAATTAATCATGCCTGCAAATAATATCTCCTCTTCTTTTCTGAATTGTTTGTAGAATTTACCCCTTCTTTTCTCCCTCTCTCATTCTTCCTTCCCAGGCATCAGCCTGATCACAAGAAGAAACATGACTTGTTTTTCTTGCTTTTGAGAGTTTGCAAGTATTTTTGTCAAAAGACAAATGCTTGGGGATCAGTTACTTAACAAGCAGATGCATAGACTAAGCCCTTTCTCCACCCTCTGTCCACTATATCCCATGTTAACCAATTGCTTAAACACAGCATGTGAATCAGAGAAGGGAATAATTGGCAACGCCTATTGGAAGGAATAATCAGGAAGGTTTCATGGAACAGGGAGGGGCTACTGAGTTGTCATTTGAAGGATAAATAAGAGTGTATGCTGCAGTTAAGCTTAAACAAAATTCTCAACAATCCATGATTAAGATAAATCAACCAACTGGGTGTAGTAAAAACAGCTAGGGTTGTAGTTCAAAGAAAAGGGCCTGGGTTCAATCATCAGCCCCCCTCCCCCCCGAAAAAAAAACCAAACAGATTATGTCAAGAATTTTGCTTTTAAGATAGGCAGAAGTGTAGGTTCATGTTCAGACTTCTGCCCTTTTAGATGCTGTAATACCCCATGCATCTCAACAGGACCAGGGGTAAGAGAGTAAAGTAACATTTGTGAAAAGCTTTTCTAAATGCAGAGTGAAGACAAAAATGTTGTGGGCTTCATTTACAATGAACTGGAATCATCCATTAACCAAAATGCCCCCTCCTCAGAATGTCTGGCCAACCATAGGTGGGTAGCACCTGAGTTCAGCCTCTTCCTCAAAGCCCCCCTTGCACTCCAAGCACCTCAGACATGTCTTCTCTCTGCTCCCTCTTCCACCCTCTCAGTGCCTGACTCAGCCAGAGCTGTGTGGGAACTGGTACAGGGTGAATCAGGGAGCTGAGACTGACTGAGGTGATGCATCACCCGCTTACCCTCAGCAGCTTGGTACACCTTGTTCCTCTTCAGCTGGCCACTCTCACTAATGCTATTTTTGTGGAGCAAGATCATCATCCTAGACTCCAGGCAGAGGATCACAAGCAAGGCACATGGCATGGAAGCTCAGAGAGAGTCCTGTCCCCAGGGAGAAGACTGAGCTCTGACAGACAGAGCCAGCTGAGGGGGTGAGTGGGAACATTCAGCCCTGGGAAAGGAAGAAGAGGAGGAGAGGGTCTTTAAATAGTAGGTAGCCTCACTGTTTCTATAAATAAAAATGCATGCTTTTACTGAACACTGATTATGAAAATATTCTTTCATTAAACAGTTGTATCCACCTTCAGGATGGCCTGAGGCTCCAGTAGCACTGGGGATGCTCCATGCAGTTCAGGAACACAGTTAGCTGCACCCATGCACATTGCCAAGACTTCATTATTTCTTTTTGGCTTAAGGACTGTGCAGGCTTGAGTGAGTGACTTGCAGGGGACAGAAGGACAGTCACAGACCAGAGCCCCACTTCACACTCTGCCAGATGTGATTATCTTTTCCACCTGCTGATGTTTTTTGAAAGTCATTCATTCTCCTCTGAAAAGGCTGAAAAAGAGAGCCAGGTGTTCTGCCGTGGGAGCAGAGGAGTGAGAGGGAAGGACGGGAGGAGGCAGGGTCGCTCTATGGGGCAGAACTGAGGGAAGCTGGCTTCTTTTCTCTTGGATCTGCTGAACAATCCCTTCTGAAAATGTGAGAGGCATGAACAGCAGTGTGAGGATGCTTTACCCTGAGGAAATCATTTTCCTTCCAGACTCCTTGCTTTTTGGAACCTAAGCCCCATGTCTCAGGGCAAGTAAAAGTGGTTTACTCCACTTCTAGTGTCCCAGGAAACACAGAGGCCCAGATGGTGGAAAAGTCACAGTTAAGGTGAATCAAAACCCCACTGGTCAGAACCCCATACTAGGCTATATGACCCACAGTTGCTTCCTAACAAGGAGTAAATAACAGTGAATACTTGAGAGCACTACATACCACATGCACATCTTTTATTAACTCATTTAGTGCTAGTAACTCTTATTAGTTCTTATTCCAGTGAAGCTATCAAAATTTGCCCAGAGACACAGCTGGAGAGTGGCAGGGCCAAGACTCAAACCCAAGTAGTTTGGAGGTTTGATGTTCTTATCTACCACTCATCCACTCATTTTCCTGCCTAAACCTTAGGAACAGACTATGGTGCTGCAGGATTGCTCATGATGCAAATGTCAGATTGTTCTGGTCAGATTTGCTGAGGTGATTTTCTTCTTAGACATACCAAAGATAAGCTATTGTGAAAAATGCAGGCAGAAATTCTTAATAATCTGCCATGAAGACAAAAGAGAAAATTAAAGGCTACCTGGTAGAAACCTGGGAGCACAAGAGTCATTGAAAGGAGCCAAACTTCTCCCATCCAACCAGATCCTCCCTAAAAGAGAGCAATGCCAAAGGTCACATCACACAAGAAGCATCCGCTAGCTAAGGGACTCTCCAAAGTGTGTTATGTGAATCCACTTCAGCCGAATGAAAAAAAATGGAACTCTCAACACAGAAGAATAATTTTAACAGTACCTTGTGAAAAAAAAACACTGAGTCTTGGAAATATAATCAAAGAAATCAACCTGGAGGCTCACCTAGGAGTACGCAGCAATGAAACATCCCTTCCTGGAGAGACAGGAGTCTGGCAGATGTGTGGTCCTGGAGAAATGCTTACAGGCATTTTGCAGGGTCTGACACTCAAGGGCCCAAAAGAGAAAACATTCCCTTCCCAGATGGCTGGTTTTGGAAGACAAGGGCTGGCTGCTCTCCAAGCCCTTTTCTGACCTGGCCTTGACCTGGGGGACATGGGTGGAGACTGATCCCCTGAGAAATACATTTGCCCTTTGGTTGCAAAACACTTCAAAGTGATTGATGAGCCCATCCCAGAGAAGAGAGAAATGTCACCAGCATCTGAATCACAGCCACATGAGTTAAAAAATAGTTCAGTCTTTCAGAAAGCCACAAGTCACCTGGGGAACAGGAGAACAGGACTAAAAGAGATCAGACTCAGGAGTGGACTCTAGGCCAGCTGACAGAGTCATGGTGCCTTGTAACAAGATACATTTATCCACAACAAACCCTGACCTCTGCTTCCTCCCTTGGCTGAATGCCCCTTGTGTTGGATCTAGTCCTCAGCAGGGGTCATCTCCTCCTCAGCAGATCATGTTCTGCCTTGGAAGCTGGGCAGGGGCTCCCCTCATGGTGGGAGTTGCACAGTGCTGGCCCAAGTGCTTTCCTGACTGCAAACAGTTGGAAACTCAGGGCTGGCTTTTCCTGGGAGATGCCAACTCTTGTTTGTGACCTTGTGGCTGCAAATTATCTTCTCCCTCTAGACTTTGATTGTTCTGGTATAAAAGCTAGACAACCAAACAATATATGTATTTTCAAATTTTCTTAGTAGTGGAGTCTATTTTGAAGACTAAATCTGACAAATCATCCAATAACACACACAAATAGAAGTGGAGCTTCTTCAAGGGTAGTGTATCATAATGGTAAGGAGCTTTACAATTTACACACTACTTCTTGCTGTGTGACCTGACCTTCAATAAGTTACATACTTATCCAAAGAGCCTTAGTTTCTAAGCCATAATACAAGGATTATCACAATACTTATTTCATTCAGTTAAAGACTAAGGAGATAGTCCACGGATAGCATTTAGTATAGGGGATCCCATCAGAATTTGCTGCTATCATTCACCATTATGAAGTGGCCCCAGAAAGGGTGATATTGGGTTTCACAGGTTCAATTCACCCTTCTCATTCTCACTCCACCTCTTTGCCAGGCTCACAGAGTCACTGAGAGAAATCAGTGCTCTGTGGGCCCCCCTGAACTGCCCCTGGGTAGATGGATATTTCCTAGACTTTCCTGAGGTCAAAGGCTTATTGACTATCTTAGGAGACCAGGTACCAGGTGGGGTTCAGGTCTAAGGGGTTTGTACCAAACAAGCACACAGATGTGCTTTCAAACACTTTGAAAGGACACTGGAAAAGATCTCTAAAAGTTCTAAAGCCCTGATATACACAGACTCCACCTCTCATCTGCCAGCCAGAGGCAGGAGCCATTTCCAAATAATCCTCTGGTCTGGGAGCACCTGGACAAGGCTGGTGGGGAAATGGCCTGTGCCCAACTTGGAGGTGCCTGTTCTGCCTGCTGAGGCAGCTCAAGCTTGCCCTCTCACTGACCTCCTGGACTCACACTCTGTCCTGTCAGCCTCAGCTCACTTTCCTGGCTGTCAGCATGTGCCTGCCCAGAACTAGTGTCTCTGCTTAACCTCCCCTTGGCCTTCCCTGTTCTATTATTGCCAGCATCCTGGTGGGACAATTTCACGGGTAGATAGAGTCAGTGCATTAGGATAAGAAATCTAAAGAGACACCATTTTCTGCTTAATATATTTTCTCCCCATGGGTCAATTTGGCTGCACTTTTATTTTGAAATAAAAGAACCTAGAAACAAATGAGCAAACACCTTATTATTGAGAACCATCTGCAGGAAACCCCACGAGGCAGCTTCAAGGTCAAAGCTATTTGTTCTGCCTCATACACAAAACAGCTGACAGGCAGGCAGGATGGGAAGCCCAGCACTGAAGGAATTTTAGGCAAAATCAAGTATCTCCTTTTCAGTTGAATGGAAAAGGAAGCGTTTTTCCCCACAACCCAAGTCTTTAAACTAAGAACATTTGTGTATTTAACAGAAACAACAATGATCCTGTAGAGTTGGCTATTTGGTCAGGAAAAAGCAACAACAACCCTGAGACTCATTCTTGGCTCTTTCTCTCTCTTTGATCCCAGATTTTCATTTTTATAAAGTGCCATCTGTTATTCCTGTAACTTTTGGGTAGAAGAAAAACAATTTTGATTTTTTGAAATTGTGTGTTTTCTCTCTGATGCTCTGTCTTCATAGGTGAGGGAGGAAGGCAAGAGGTCAGTTTCTTCTACTGCAACAGCATGCCTAACTTCTACCAGAACAGGATGATTCCAGCACAAGGGCAGAGAAAGAGAACTGGAAGATGTTCTGTGGGTATTGCCTTGGGTGTCCCAACACTTTTCCAGAATGATGGGAATGCTCTGGTCTATGCTAAAATGCAGTAGCTCCTGGCCACACTTGGCTACTGAGTGCTTGCTATATGACTAAACAACTAGAGAAGCACATTTTAAAATGCACTTCGTTAATTAACTGAAGTCTACATCTAAATTAAATGTCTATATATATAAATAGGTGACACAGCTTGGGGATGAGTGTGTGTGTGGTGCGCATCCACGTGTGTGTGTGTGTGTGTGTGTGTGTGTGTGTGTGTGTAGGCAGACATCAAGAACACATGTAGAGCTTGGTCTAATACTACAGACTCTGTTCACCTTTCTCCATCTTGTCCTCTCTTGGTCCTTGCCCCTTCATAAACCACCACCAGCTGCCTGATTATCTCAGGAAGTGTCTGCCCCCAGCATGTGGCCACATCACATTTTTTTAAATGATCATAGCTCCCAACTACTGTTGTTATATGGACTTTCCTGATCTAACTACAGTCTTTAAGTCTTCAAGCATAAAAAATCAGTTTCAGCTAACATGCTAACTCCAATCCAAACCAGTAAGCATTATGTCAAGAAGAAATGTGACTCAAGTTCCAGCCTAGCTGGAAAATGGGCTATAACTCATTGACACATCTGCCTGGGCTGTGGCCACAAACAAAATGATGGCCCTGGTTCTCCTGTTAGCTGACTCCACAGTCCATCCACATTGTAGCTCTGCTCCAATAACTAGTGAGCACATTAACTTTACTTACCCAAGGTCCTCTTTTAACTTTACTTACCCAGGGTCTTTCATTGTTTCCCAAAATCTATGGCACTCTAAAGGCTCTTAGTAAATACTAAAACATACATGTAAATTATATGAAGTTTTTTATGTATTTAGTACTGGCTCTATAGGGTCTCACTACACAGACTGGACTCATAGTGATCCTCCTGTTTTTAGCTTCCCAAGCGCTGGGATTACGGGTATGCACCACCACACCCAGTCTTAAATTATATAAAATTTTATAAAGAGCCTAGTTCTCATCACAGACAAGGAAGTTTATATTTGTAATTCCATGAAAAAGTGATTGGAATTGTAATGAGTTAATTCCAATCTACCACTTCCAATGCAACCCACAGCAGAAATAAAAACACTAAGGCATATTTGTAGTTATGGGGAGCCAAGGGGGTCGTGAGTCCAGCCAAGATGATAGCTATATGGAACAAAGTCCTCTACTTCGGACTGAACCCAGCTTTTATTCATTTGTGAACAGAGTAGCTTGGGGATGAGTAACTGAGAGTGGCAGGAAATATATGAGTGTCATAAGCTGGGCTTCGTAGGAGGCTTGTATTCACCTCTGTGATATGCAGACAGAAAGATAAGCAGAAAGCATAATCTAGAATATACAATTGAGATAGTACCTAATGTTTTGGGGTCTGGTGCTTCAGCTCTGATGTGTAATCTTTTAAACTCTAGGAAGTCATAGCCTCTATCTGGAGGCTAATCCTAGCCAACAGTGCGGCACACTAGGGAACAGCAGGTGGGAATTTCTGGGGAAACACACCTGCTGCCTTCAAAAACTACCACCAGCACCTCAGCTAGACTGGTATGCACTGCCTAAAGCCAATTAAAGGGATAAGGACAAGTCCTAGCCAGCTCTATACATATAAATACATGGAAACAGGGTCAGTCTCAGCCACAATTGAGACAATTGCCCCAGGTGGTCCTCCACGAAGTTTAATCTTTGGTTAAACAAAAACTAAATGAGGCAATGAGATTTATTTAGGAAAAAAGAAACCATGCTTCCCACAAATTTGCCACTTCAAGCTGAAGGACAACAAAGCAATCAGCTCCTGCTTTTCCTCCAATAACCTTTCCTTTTTGGAAGACAATAATTTTGGGTTATTACATTTGATTCTCAGGAACCAACATGACGAGAGCAGGTCACATTTTATAGATGAAGAAACAGAGGCTCAGGATGGACAAATGCCTTGCAGATGGTCACAGAGTTCCTTTCTTCTTGCAGCAAGATTCTAAGACTGAAACTCCAGTGAGATAAAACATAGGACAAGCATGTCTGATGAATGATGGGAAGGCTTCCCGTGAGTCTCAGCAGGTAACTCAAAAAAAGACCACTTTTGTTGAAGAGAATGGGGAAAGAGTTCCCATCCCTCTGGGAGGACAGCATGATGTCTGTGTTATAGCAGCCTCTGCTTCACTGAAGAGCCAGTGCCAGGGTTCTTTATCCTCATCTTAGGGAGAAAATGGTTCCAGGCAGAAAGCCAGAAAGGAGCTCAGTGTGCTGTTTCCAGAGGCAGGTAGCACAGTGCAAAAAGTGAATGTTCTTTCTAGGTGTGTGTGGAACACATGGGACCCTGGCCAGAAGTGAAGTACAGCTCTGACAAAGTACAGGGTTGGCCATCTTTACATATTCCTTCATCAAGAGGTCCTGAGGGAATGGGGTCTGCTCCCAAGCTCTCACTTGCCAGAGACATGAATCAGCAGAGATAGTAGCACGCAGGCTCCCAGGAGAAAGGGTTCACAGTGAGGAAGTCAAACCACAGCCAGGGGGAAGGAAGGACACAGTGACATGATATGAGGTACTGCAGACACTTGGAGATGGAATGAGAAGAAAGGAAAAGACAGGAATAAAACAAGAACTAAGACTGTACATGTACCAACTCCCCATGAAGAATGTAATTATTATGCACTGCAAATATGTACTTAAAAATTAGAAATAACAACAGAATGAGTCTTAGAAATACATTTGGGACTCAGTGTCCTGCTTTAGTGGGGGTGGAGAGACAGGGAGTGAAACTTGGGTTATTTTTGTTCACAAGACTTCTCTTTTGCCAATAGGCTGATAAGGCTTGAACAAACTGAGTCACACAGT